TTTTATTTTTTTTTATTTTATTTTTACGGCAGTTATCAAGCGCTTTAATCTCCTATAGGCATTACTAAAAACATCCACACCGTTGCTAGTTTTATGGAACTGATCGAAAATGACTGAAATTTGTCTTGGGAATAGAAGGATAAAAAATGGTCTCATGCCTTAAAGATATATATTCACACAACCCAACAGGACCGAGGAGGCACATCTTTTATTGACAATCTTGTAAAATGTCAGAGCGTCGTTACATAAGCGGCGCTGGTGAAGTGGAATAAGTTGGAAAGAGCTGCACGCAGAATCGTAATCTTTATAGTTTAAATTAAATTTATAGGTTAAGTGTTTTAGAAATTTGTTTTAAATTCTTTCGATTCTGTTTATATAAGTGTGATACTGCGGATTCCAAATGGTAGTGCAAACATTAAGTATACTAAATACGTAAGCAAAATATAAAACTTTCACCGCTTCAACGCTTTACATTTATTTAGTATGAACAATTTTTTGGTGTATATTCCAAAAGAAATGTGAGAAGATTATATTGAAGATTATATCAGCAAGATATTTAAACATGTAACCATAAAAAATGGAAATTATTTTTGTGAAATGAATGTTTTAACTGTCCTAGCAACAAAATGTTATATTTAAACAAAGAAGTATTATTAATAAATAATACACTACTCTCCAAAATTATCGCACCACCTAAATAATGCATTAAGTTTAAAGGTATTTTTTTCTTGAATCAACTGATGGATTTTGATGATTCATTCTTCACGGTATAGGTTGATTTTTAAGGAAGAAATGTGTTGATGGTTTCTGACAATTGTCAACGTTTTACCCATACACGGGGTGTAAAAAGAAATTTATGTTTTTTCTTCTAATTTTGCAACACCCTGTGGAATTTATCAGAAAGAACCGCTAAATTCCATTTACATTACGTAAGAATGGCAACCCTTCTCTACATTTTCGTTCAAGAATCATCTCGATGTCTCTTTTATCAAGGAAGATACACATTTTTTAAGTTTGACTTAATTTTGTTGAAATATAGTCCTTACTAATGAAATATCAAACAGTTTGACAGAAATGTTTGTCAATTTTAATTACGCATTTAGCAAGTTGCTGCTTTGGGTTATTAAGTGTTTATTTGACATGGACCGTATTTCAAGACATTTAAACCGCGATGAGTGTGTTGAGGCAGTTACTTTAGCCAATAAAGGAATAAGTTATCGTGAAATAGGCTTGAGATTAGTAGTTTCTCATACAACAATATCACGTGCCGTTCAACGATTTCAAGAGACAAATGATCATACAAGACGACCTGGACAAGGAAGAAGGAGAGTCACAACACTACGCCAAGATCGTTTTATTAGACTTCGTGCTTTAAGGGAACGTTTTGTTACAATGAGAAACTTACAGATACAAGTAGCAGATGTTCATAATATTCGAATTAGTACTAACACTGTACAAAGGCGTCTCGCCGAAGGTGATTTGCATGCAAGGATTCCTGCCAGAGCACCAAATTTAAACGCAAATCATCGTAGAAGGAGATTGCAATTTGCCAGAGAACATCTTGACTGGAATGCTGATGACTGGGAACAAGTACTGTTCACAGATGAATCAAGGTTTTGTTTATACAGCTCAGATAGACGTTTAAGAGTAATTCGACGGCCCAATGAACGCTATGCACAGTGCAACATACGACCGACAACTTTATTTAATGGAGGATCTGTAATGGTTTGGGGTGGAATTTCGCTTACAGCACGAACAGACCTTGTTTCTTTGCGAAGAGGTTCATTAACAGGTGAAAGGTATATTACAGACATTTTATCGGAACACGTGGTACCCTTTGCTCCTTACATAGGAAATAATTTTTTATTAATGCATGATAATGCAAGACCTCATGTTGCCTATACGGTCCGTGACTATTTGGATGAAGTTGGTATACAAACCATGGACTGGCCACCCTGTAGCCCTGATCTCAATCCAATAGAGAATTTATGGGATAATATTGATCGTCAGTTAAGGGGCCGACATCCACCACCTATCGTTTTGGACGACGTTGAGAGGATGGTAAGAGAGGTTTGGGATGCAATTGATCAAGATCAAATTCGACGCTTGATTTTAAGTATGCCTCGTCGCTGTGAAGAAGTGATACGTAAGAGAGGCGGAAATACACGTTATTAGGTGATTTTGAGAGAATTGATTAAGGATTATGTAGTGTTTTTTAGTTTTCACCTACTTGTTTAAAATGTTAATAAAAATTCGTTACATTTAAACTTGTGTATCTTCCTTGATAAAAGAGATATCGAGATGATTCTTGAACGAAAATGTAGAGAAGGGTTGCCATTCTAACGTAATGTAAATGGAATGTAGCGGTTCTTTCTGATAAATTCCACAGGGTGTTGCAAAATTAGAAGAAAAAACATAAATTTCTTTTTACACCCCGTATATGGGTAAAACGTTGACAATTGTCAGAAACCATCAACACATTTCTTCCTTAAAAATCAACCTATATCGTGAAGAAAGAATCATCAAAATCCATCCGTTGATTCAAAAAAAATACCTTTAAAGTTAATGCATAATTTAGGTGGTGCGATAATTTTGGAGAGTAGTGTATCTTATCTTTGATAATCACAATAAGCTTTTCCTTCTTAATTGATAGGAAGCCTTTAAAACATCCCGATTTTCGTGATTAATGTAATTGTTACTTGCAGCAATGTTCAACCCAGTCACTTTCTCTGAAAATAATTACAGCACAGTGATTCACGCAAATTCGTTCTTAGCAAACTATAAAGATTACTTCAGATGGTTTGATAATGAAATAATGTTAGATATTGGTTGCTCAAATGGGCGTGTTACCAAAGAAGCGCTCTATCCATTCGTAATGAATCATCTAAAACATCTGATTGGAGCTGATATTTCGGAACATGCTATAGACGTAGCAAATGAAACTTATAAAACGTCTACATTATCGTTTCAAGTAATGGATATAATCGATAGTGAGCAATGTAAAAAGGATCTTGAGAAGTTTCATCACATTTTTGCATTTTATGTATTTCATGTTTTACCAAGATCAGATTTGTGAGTATTATATTAAATTAATTTTAGTTGTTTTTTTTTTATTTTTCATCGTTTTAGATGGTCTGTAAATATCTATAAGATGCTAAAACCGAAAGGTCAATTATTTACATCAATAGTTGTGGATTCACGTAATATAGTAACTATTTGCATGGCGGATCAACGAAATGATGAAACGAAACCGTGGTCAAAGTATATAAAAAATCTTCCAGATATATTTTTTGATTTTGGTCCAAACCCCAAAAAAACAATTTCAGATATTTTAAAAAAAGCTGGATTTATTATAGACGTGATGGATGTGCAATCCGTTTCCTTCTCTTTTCCAGAGGTCCATTTATTGCGAAGTATTTTTTTAATTTGTTATTGAAATGGTATTATTTTTTTAATTTTCAGATACTTTAGTGGGCGGTAACCACTTTTTGAACCACATTCCGATGGAATTACGTGATGAGTACATTGAAGATTTTGTTGGCAAATTCATCAACCAAGTTAAAACTGAAGATGGCAAATATAGTTATTCATTTGACGTCCTAACAGTAGTTGCAACTAAACCTTAAATGCTTTACTTGCTTAACACGTAAATACATTTGTAACCCAATGTTATGGAGAAGTTGAAAAATATATTTCTTTATTGCTGTGTAATGTCTTGTTTTATAATTTCCATTGTTTATTACTTTATGGCAAATTCAATCCAAAAAATATGATTAAAAAAATAACAGTTAGTTATAAACATATTTGATATAGGACACAAAAACTCAGGCTGACTTTGGTATGTCTTTTGAGAACTTAGTTTGTGATAAAAAGGGCTCTTTGTTACATACTTTGTTATTTAGAGTACTGGTGAGTGATCTGAGTCCAGGTCTAACTCCTCTTTTATGTTTATGAAGTTAAGTGATATATTTTTCGTAATAAAGAAATCAAGCAAGTCTGGAATTTTATTTCTATCTGTTGGCTAGTAAGTAACGCAATAAATACGCCAAAATGTGTACCATTATTTGCTAGGAGCAAGTATAAATGGTAATCTGAAATATGGTTCGATAAAAAATGCAGCCGCTCGATATTCTGTGTCATAAGTCGAATTTGGTATCGAGCACAGCAATCCTTACGTGAAGAGTCAGTATGTTCAAATGTAAATTTGCGGAAATCTGGAAATGTTGGAAGAAAGCGAAAACCCATATATGTAGAAAAGATAAAGGAAGTACCTCATATGTCGAAAAGCCCAAATCAACGAAGTATTAAGTCTGGATTGATTAAGCTCTACACCAACAAATCGCAACAAATTTTAGCGTTTGAAATACTGCTTGGCAATGCTTGATTTTGACAGCATCTTTTCATTCAAACTTCATTCATGTTGATAAGAAATGGTTTTATTTAAAGAAAACATCCAACAAGTACTTCCTCGCATACGATGAGATAGAACCTTATCATTTTGACACATTACGTTTGATAAGAAACGTAATGTATCAACCTCCTAATAGTCTTGACAGTAATGTACTAGATCTCGGTTTCTTCAATGCCATACAGACACTTCAGTACCAAACTGATGCTTCCAATATCGATTAATTTAATCATTTCGTCACTGACGTCTTTAATCAACTGAGTTGTAATACACTGAATAAGGATAATCACAGCAGCAATGCATGATAGAAATCATTTAGGCAAACACAAACTGGTTCGACTACGATAGTTACACCTTTGCCTTAATTGTGATAGGAACCTTGTCGAAGCGGCTCAGACAAAGATTACCACTCCTACTATTATTAAGCTAGCTCCACACAATGCGCGGACTGGCACGTCACTTTAAAGGAAAAGTATTGTAACTTTAACGAAAAAGTGGTACTTTCGGTATAAAATTTGTCTTTATTTTAAGACTTAAATTTACATCAAATAGGACACTTATTATGGAACAGAGAGAGTAATTAAATATGTACTTACAAATCTGTTTCTGGAATCAATTGGAAACAATAAAACCCAAAAATATGTCCAAATTTTTCGTTATATTTCGAACATTGTTCTTCGTTGGTCACATCGAGTACTTCAAAAGAAATTTTCTTATTGACATTGTTAATTTTTGCGTACTCGATGGCTTCTTCGGAGATATCGGTTGCTTTTAGCTGATTTAAGTATTTTTCCACGAATGGATAAAGAGCTTCTTTGGTTATATTCCCTGCAGCACATCCAATTTCCAAAATATTTTCCGATGGGGTCCATTTGAATAATTCTTCGTAAGTTTTTAAAAAATCTTTCGCGTGTTGAAGAGTGTTTTTATTGAACAACGAAAATTGTGTTGGATCTTTCATGTTAACGTGTTCTAATGTTCTAATCTAAATTTATTTTTATACCAATAAAGATAATAAAAAGTTTTAGTGATAAAAAATTGTTATGTAAAGAATAAATGTTTTGAATTAACTTGTTTGCTACTTATTATCTGTCAATGATAAGGAAAAAATAAAATTTTTTTGTTAGAAGATAACAAATAAAGTCAATGTGTTGGCGGGTTTCTTCAAGAATATGAAGACCGTGATGCTTGGTATCAAATGGATGGTGCTCCTTCACATAGGACCTATGCAGTGAGAGTTGTGCTAAACGATATGTTTGAAGATAGATGATTAACGGGGCCATACGCGGACAAAAATGATATGCAAAACAGAATTCGAGCTGCTTTCAATTCATTATCTGGCAACTTTATCGGGGAGCTCACCAATCGTCACGTATCAATAAGAATTGAAGCATGTTTAGGAAACAATGGCTGTCTTTTTGAACATTGAAGGTTTCAAAAATGTAATAAAATACAGGGTGTTCCATTTGAAACATGAAAATTGACTTCACTTTCGGTGTAACCACAAGTAATTGGAAAGTGACAAATTTTAGTTTAAGAGATCGTATCAAGTCTACAAATTTTCAAACACCCACTTCATTTTGTTCTCTATATAGATCTAATGGACGGTCGTCGTGGATGACCCTGTATTATGCATACAATTATGTAAATACATACTAATTAGTTACTTATTTTTGACATTTTGATACACAAAATTAAACAAAAAGATGTTTTGCACCTTACCTGGTCCAGTCTGATTTACACTTAATATAGATAAATATTGTTATACAGGTTGTTTCTAAATGAATATCGGGGTTTTATCACTTAGTGGTACAGTAAAACCTCGACTTACGCTACCCCGTCTTACGCGACCCCGTACTTACGCGGTTTTTCTAACGACACCACGCCGCGCCGTCGCGTCGGGGCGCGACAAGAAGGCGCGTTAGCCATCTCGCATTTTTTTTAATTCTTCATCATGTATTTCGCTGGTAGTCTTGTGTATTCACCAACACTAAATAAAATGTTTCGATAGAATATTTTAAACTTTTACAAATGTCTTGTAAAAGAAGCAAAAGTGATTATTCGGCGCCGAATAAAAAAAAAAAAACTTTAACGTTAGATTATAAACTTAATATAACCAAGGGTAATTTGGAAATCAAATCCTAAGGCTTGGATGACAGCGTCTATCTTCGAAAACTGGTTTGATTGCCACTTTATTCCCGAGATTAAACGCTACTGCGAAACTAAACAAATTCCTTTTAATGTAATGCTTCTTATTGACAATGCTCCAAGTCATCCGCCAACTGTTCTATTTAATTTTAACCCACATGTTAAGGTTGTTTTTTTGCCACCAAACACAACCAGTCTACTTCAACCAATGGACCAAGGAGCCATTAAAACATTTAAGGCTTATTACACACGACGTTCATTTGCGCACTTGAATAATGCTATGAGACAGAACGATCAAATGTCCGTTAAAGATTTTTGGCGGCAATTCACCGTTTTAGATGCTGTTAGACTTATTGGAGAATCGTGGGACGAAGTTTCGGAGAAAACATTGAGTAATGGAAGAAAATCTGTCCATTCTTTTTCAACAACGAAACGGAAGTAACAGCCGACGTAGATTTTCTTGGTAATACAATAGAAGAAATAGTAACTCTTGCGACAGAATGTTTATGAAGTTAAGTGATATATTTTTCGTAATAAAAAAATCAAGCAGGTCCGGAATTTTACTTCTATCTGTTGGCCAGTAAGTTGGCTTCCCAGTGAAGAGCACCTCACAATTTAGGGCCTCTATTGCATGGTTCAGTTCTCTTCCTTTTGTATTTGTCAAGCGAGAACCCCAAGACATATGTTTTGCATTAAAGTCTCCTCCAAGTATAAATTTGTTGTCGAGATGTAGTAGAATTTCCTGATAATCTTCTCTT